GTAACATACATAAATCTTAATAAGCCACAACTACTCCCTCTAAAACTCTACACAATCAACAATTTTTTTAAAATCAAGCCTATCTAATAGTCTGACGTAACAAGGTAAAATAAAATGATGTCTGTTATACTGAGCCTCACGAAGCAGATATCATCAGGGAAGTTCAGGGCAGTTCCTGTAACAGCTAAGCTAAAAAATATTCAGTCATTCACACAATCCAGGTCTGACATGCGTACACTGCAGAGATTTCACCCTTATCTCTCGGAAGAAGCTGTATTTACACATAGAGAACTGTTCTGTACTTCTCATTACCTCAGTTTGTAAATCATAAGTAAATGGAAAGTGCATGCACACACACAGAGAAACATAACCATTACAAACCCAGCAATGCCTACACTACACTGGAGGAAACAATCAACTGCCTGGAACAGATCATCAGCTAAGCGACAGCGTCTCAGGCAATATTATTAATAACAGTAACCAGAATTTGACAAAGTAGTGGGGGTTATCACTCAATTGTTGTAAAATATGCCAAAGGACATAAGTATCAGAGAAATCTCTGAGGTCTTAGTCTAAAAGGGAATCTTCTAAGATGCCATTTTATCATGATTTTTATATTGCTGGTTAAGATACAAACTGTCCCAGAAATAACAATATTTTTATTCAAAGTATGCTGAGCTTTTTTATAAATGCGAATTAACTGAATTAGATCCATCCTATGAGGTAGGTGGAGCGGCTTTCCTCAGACCTTTTCAAAGCACAAGGCCCTGTTGGCTTATTGGTCTTCACATGGCCAAGTAGGCAGCAGTTCGGCCTCTCTCAAGCAAAGGAATAAAAATTGGTTGTCATTATTACAAGGGTTAACAATCTCCTCCTGCCTCCAAGGATGTGAAGTGCTGCCAGAAGCTGAAGCTGCCTGTCAGTTTATAAACTAGTGTGAATAAGTAATGACAACTTTTTTTTTTTTAACCCTGTAGGAATCAAGGTGCTGGCAGCTACTGCCTTGAAATATTTTGCGTCCCTCTTTGAAGCCTTTTATAATCCCAAAGGAGAATGTGAAATATAGCTGAGAAACACCAATTCCAAGGACCAGGAACAGCATTAAAAAAATCAGCAGCTATTTGTTTACTAGCCCCGATCCTGCTCTTGACATTCTGCAAGGCACTGGGCAGATCGGTTAGCCACCCTCTGCCTTATCCATCTCCCTTCCGTAAAACAAAACTAACACATTTGCAGTCTTGGATAGAACGGAAAGAAGGTCAGGACAAGATTTAATCAGGAAATATTTATAACGGTGATCTAAAGATTCAAGTTCTATGGAACATACGTACACCTTTTATCAATGTGCAAAACGGATCAGGAGCCCATGTGATCTGTTCATTACTACACTGCAAGTGTAGAAAGCGAAGCAAGCGTAGTAATGAATGAAGTCAAGAACAGAATCCAGCAGTTCTAGCTCTAAGTCTATCAATTTGTTCAGTAAGGCACATTTCCAATGAAATTAATAGTATTAAACAAATGTTTAATAAAACAGAAAAAAGAGGTTATAAAACCCTCGCAGTTGATACACTACATAGCACAAGAACAGTTTAAACTGAGTTAATTCGCAAGTGAACAAGCCATTAGTGTATTTGTTTCAAGAAACAATCCTCCATGCTGTAAGACAGGCTGAGTAACTAACTGTATTGATTTAGAAATTAGTAAAATAGGTTAATCAGCTCCTTTATTTACTCCTTATCTTTTTTGAGTGTGGTTTCTTTTTTTGGAAGGGGGAAGGATATTTTCACGTTTTATCTTCTCCCTTGTTCAAATGGACTAAATTATATACTACCTCTCCAACTGAGAAATGCAAACTTCCACATGAGAGCAATGGCGACATGACAGATCTCTAACTAAACCATTCTGCCTCCAGTATGAGAATACTGGTTCCTAAGAAATCACCAAAAGATATTATCTTAGCCATTTTCTCTATTCTAACATCCTATTCCAATCTCTTTTCATACTTCCCTATATTCTTACCAGTTATTCCTCCTCTGTATGTAACTTGCCTCTATTCTACCTTCAAAGGTTTCTAAAGTTCCATTCTGGTTCTAACATATTCTTTAACCCTAACCGTACTCCATTTTTCTTCCACTATTCTAACCAGAATTTTGCCTTGGCTTTATTTCTAATTTTGAAACTGTTGCCTGACTTCTACACCTGCCAACCATGACTAAATCATGTTTCTCTCCTCCAGGCTTCTGAAATTACATCCAAAGGTAAAGAGTATGAAAAAAAACCCAACACACGGACACATCCAAGCTCACCTATAGCTACAGCAGGGGGACACAGGCTTATCAGGCTATCTGTTGCAAGAAAAAATGACTATACGCAGGGAAATCAAAGTTAATTGTCTCTGGTGTAGCACCTTCATGTTCTCCCATATGTGCCCCTGAATTTGTTACTTGATATTCTGGTCTTCTTATTTCTCTTTTCTTAGAGATGTAAGAAAAACCTCCATATAGTTATTGAAGTTATTATTAAATCTCAATGTAGCTGGGGCAGGAAACTACTATAAGCATGAGTCATGAGGTCTCATGCAATGATTACAGCATTACAACACTGTGGCTTCCCCGCAAGACCTCCACTGCTGCATATCAGATATTTACTTTAAGAACGCTCTAAAGGAGAAAGCAGGAAAACAGGCACCGCACTATTTACATGTTTTCATGGTCCTGCAATATCTTATTAACGCATGGGACATTCTTGCAGAGGAATAGGAGGTTTCCCTACCTGCTTCGCAACCACATCTCCCTGGCCCTTTGCCTTCCTTACCTGCTTTGCAACTGCAGCTCCCTGGCCCTTTGCCTGAGGGCTTTTTTTAGGTCTTCTGCCAAGCATGCTGGTTCATGAATTTCAGAGGATTATGTCTCTAAGGGACTGAGAGCACATGAAATTGAACGTCAGTCAGTATCCTCGCCTGTCTCAACGCACTGCAAACTGGACGAAGGCAGGCAGCACGCAGCAGGCTGTGCACAAACCCGCAGCTTCTCCCGGCGCCCCCGAAATACTGGGCAACACCAGGAGGGAAGGGGGGCCGGGGGGGGCACACTCCATGTAACACGCTCCCCAGGGCCCAGGCCTGCCAGCGCCGCCTGCCGCCCTCCGCCC